AAAAAAAAAAAAATGTCATTGTCACAGCAGGCCAGAGGACCCAATAAATAAAAAATAGTAAATGACATCACATCTTATATATGTATGGAGTGGCTAATCTGACCTTGGATTGAAGTTTTAATACTTGAGCCAAAAAATTTCAATCCAAAATGAATTGGGACAATACGCTATGGGTTGGTTGACTCTTGGGATAGTAATCGCTATCTAAGTGGTGGTTATGACGAAAACAAAAATAGTTAAGCAAGTACTGAACTATGACAAAATACCATCTAAAGAAGGAAGGAAGGAAGCATGCGAACATTAAATGACATGCATATGTCACGGAGAGTTGCGTGACAAATACCAACACCATTTTCAATACATCATTGATTGACCAACAGAAGATGAGCCACACCTTTAGAACATGATTGCACATGGCATGGTGCCCTCGGTGTCCCAGAGTACTAAAGAGTAAAGACAATAATACTTATTTATTAATCGCTAGGTAGATAAATATTAATTAAGGAGTCAGTTGATGGACAAACCCAACCATGTGGTTACATCATCCTGCTGGAGGAGGAGGAGGCCACTGCACTGCAGTACTCTTAACATCCAAATGGGGCTGGCTTAGTACCCTCTACTTGTGTATGCCTGGTCAAATATTGGGGCAATCGAGATTGAGTGAGTTTTTATCCCCTATTATTAACACTTTTGAATATGTTTAACAACGCCAATTGATCCATCAAATTTTTAGAATATTTTTAAACTTGGAAGTATTATTCAAAAGAGCATGCGTGGAATAGAGGATTGAGGTCCTGTATTCAAAAGGGCTTGAGATGATATGGAGGGTTAGTTCCCCCAAAAAAACATGTTTGCTGCTATAAGAATTTTGTCTAATTACTGAATATTGTTGAACGTGGACATAGATATCATGTCTGAAACAATAAAAAAGGTACACAAAGGCATAATAAAAGTGCTTCATGTGTGTGTTAAAAGTGTAATACAAGTTAGCCATTAGCTTAATTATGTTTCACCCTTTTTCTTATATATATATATAGTACATGAAATGTTATCAGAGATTTGATAACCAAGTCATCCTATTCCTACTCATGTCATCTGTATGTATATATTACGCATGAGTTAGTTTGTCATCTTATCTTTGACATATCGCAAAGAAAAATTAATGTATATGAATGAATGCAAAAAACATGACAGTAATTAGAGTATACCAGCTGCAGACGAGAGATTAACTTGATGAGAAATGAAGGGACTTTACCAAAAGTAGCAGTGGAAAAGGTTGGGGTTCCGTCCACGAAGTTCAAGCTGCCGGAAACAATGGTCTTGTTGCTCCCGTCACCGTACATCATCACGTTCCACATAGACTTGTCCAAATTCACGTTCTCCACATACACACCAGCCTTCACATAAATGACTAACCTCTGGTTACTCTTCTTCGGCACCTTTGCCAACGCCTCTTTTATCGTCTTAAAATTTCCACTGCCATCCTCTGCCACTATCAACTGTGGCTTCGGGCTGGTCGCCTGAAGCAGCCTCCGATCGCCCGCCCCAACCCAATTCGGAAATCCTGAAATAATATCTGCCGTCCCCAACAACTTTCTGTGAATCGGGATATTGAAATCCGAAAGAATACCCAATATCTTGGCGACAATGGCCAAGCTGTTGCTTGCGAACTCGGTCGAGTTGTTCATTGGACCCTTCCATTCTTCCGGCAGGGTTGAATTCACTTCCTCAAGAGCGTCCAAGCACGTTTGTTGGTCAGTAATGGTTGTGCTTAGCCATGTCTTGAGGTCGTTAATCTTTGCCACCGACAGTATTTTCTGGCCGTCACTCACATTCATGTATGAGATCGAATCGCTGAGTCTATCTACGGCGTCGTCGAACGCAGTTTGACAAACGTCGAAAGCCGCCTTGAGTTTGGCATCATTCGTTTTATTCACCCATTCTTCCGACAATGTCGATAGCTCCGAGAGTGAGTTCAAGACTACTTGTAAAGAGATCTTGAAGAACTCTTCTGGGTCTGTAGTACTGTCGGACGTTTCGACCGTTTTTATGCTGTTGAAGCATGACTCTGGATATTGAGTCTGGCTACAGACAGCTTTGAGCGCCGCGGCTGGGGAGGTCGGAGTTGAAGGAACTTCATCGGATCCATTACGGTTTCGCTTGTGTAATACAGTTCCGACGACTGCACCGATGATTACTGCGACTAAAATGACCGAGGAGACTATGAGGATGATGAGACGTTTCCGGGTATTTCGCCGGAAACCTTGTTCTTCGATCTCGTTAACCTTGCCATAGCCCTTAAAGGACTTGATTGTATCCATTGCACTTTACAGGAACCTCTTCAGCTTTTGCCAAAGGTGTATATGCTTCCTTCCTTCCTTTCGCTTTTTGATGGGCTCTTGTTTGTGTGAATGAGAATGGGCGTGCGTTTTATTGAAAAAAGCTTTTGGGAGATGTGTCTATTTCTGATCAACGAATCTCTTTTTATACGAGTTTGGGTGTGTAAAGCTAATATCTTTCAACTTCTTCGATGCTTCTCAGTGAAGACATAATCATAATGTTTGTATCGCGTTATTTAATCAAACAGCATAATTAATTTCTTATCATAGTTAGGATGTAGGTAACATCATTTAATTAATTAATTAATTAATCCACCAATATGTTGTAATAACTTTCAATTACTGTTGAATTCTCAACTGTGTCCTTAAGGTTTTCTTTTTTTTCCTTTCTGTTAATTTTATTTTGACCAAACAAATAAAATCCTAAAACCCCATCTCAACTGAAACCCACCTTCACAATCGTAGCCTAAACTTCTGGTTTGATCTTTTAGAGTGAAGTGATCATAAGGACCAAACGCTGTCGGTCGGGAACTTAAAATTTCGCCTAATTGTTGGTCCTGGCTATGTAAGTAAGGACATTGTAATTGGCTCTTTTTGTGACAAAAAATGGGGTTTTCCATAATTTGGAAAGATAAAGGTTATTTGAGTATTTTCAGGTTTTGGTAGTGGCAGGACGTTGGGCAGTTTCACATAATAAAAGATACCAGGCCGACAAATGCCATCCAGCTGTAGTTTGCAAGATAGGAAGGAGGAGAGAACATTGAACAGTTCCTTCAGCGGTGGTATGTCACTTTCTTCTCAATCAGACGATGCCCCAAAGAGACGAGGGGATTTCACGCTGCCAGGCGTTTCAACTTCGTTTTTTTTGCCCAATTTCCGTCAAAATGACTTGTTCGTCATCAAATATATTAGACTTCCCTAGTATGATTTGATTGGATCTTATGGCATCTCGAAAGTAGGGCAAGTTAAGATTTATATTAGGCTGCGTGATTGGTGAATGATAACAAATTCAAAATGACCCAAGAAATCAAGAGGATTGCGATGCTTTGCAGTTCCTCCAATGCCATGCCTGCTAACTAAAAAACAATTTGTCCGTTTATTTTATGACCACTTTACGTGGATATCGGCCTTGATGACTAGAAATTTTAGCACCAATCATGGATTATCATGTGTTGCAGCGAGTCGAATCTCCACCAGGAAGCATAAGGACATTAGGATGTGGACATTGAGCAATTTTCAGTTGACCTTGTCAATTTTTGACATGCCTGCATCAAACTCAATGATGGAATAGAATGTATCAGTTTTGAGTTATAGACTAGACTGAGCTGGGTTGTGGTCAGACAGGTATAAAATCAAATGGGTTGTGCTCATTCTAGTGGGGTACGTTTCCTTACACTTGCCATGTGCGGGGTGCGGATGCGAAAGCTCAGGTCCGCGGGAATTGCGCCCGTAACATCTCCTCACGTCGTCCCCTTTATTTCCTTTTTCTCAGAATTAACTAATTAATGAGAATCTCCATTCCATTTGACTAATCCATCGCACAGCTGGCGGGACCGTGTCCGAATAGTGAAGCTTATTTCATTCTCATATTCATCTCTGTTATTTTATTCTTGTTTGTTTGTTTCTTGAGAGAGTTTACGGTACCGCCTGGTAAAAAATTTGGTACGGTATGGAAAAGGATATCACATTATAGGATAGAAAACCAACTTGAAATTGTCAGAGCCTGATATGTCAGGTAATTCAACTAGGAATCGGTATATTTAAGTCACACAGCACCTAGTTTGCTTATGGACGAGTAATGAAAAACTCTCAAACTTACACAATTGATTCCTACAACTAGTTGAAGTGGCCAGGAGGATGATTCTTTTAAAAAAATTAGGGGTGACAATTCTTTTTTAATAAAAGTGTAGAAATAATACATTTTATATTTTTTGTGTTTGATATGATAGATGAAAAATAAAAAATGACTAAATTTTTTTTTTTACTTACTAAAATTAGGGGTGACAATCAAATCGTGTCGTATCAAATTCGTTTTGAGTAATTACGGTTTTATATCGAACAATAGTCAAATTTAACTCAATTTATTTAATTAATTTTGTTGTCTCGAGTTACGAATTAATCTGTTTATTTTCGTGTCGTGTTCGTGTTGATCCACATAAATTTTGAATAAAAAATTTAAAGTTAATATTTTATTTTCGTTTAATTGAATCCATGTTAATATTTTTTCTATAAACTAAAAATTAACTTAAATAAATATAATAATAATAATAAGTAAAAATATTTTTTTTATATAATAATTATGTCAGTACTTAATAAATAGTTACAAATAATTAACATTGTATGTCTATAATACTAGTTAAACATGTTAGTTTCGTGTCAATTTCGTGCTATCATACAAACGAAAAAATAGAAAAAATGTTTATTTTTAAATAAACGGATAGATGGTGTCAATTTTAAATTTGACGGGTTGAACTGAATATGAGTCTTTTATATTTCTTGTTCGCGTGTTAAGTCATTTTTAAATTCATGTCGAGTTATAATCAAGTTTGTGTCATAAAATTTATATCGAATTCGAGTAATGTCATCGTGTTGAGTCGAAAATTTTCACTCTTAGCAAAAATAAAAAAAATATTTTTTTTAATTTAAAATTTTAATTTTAATTTTTAAAATTTTTTAAAAAGTATATATAAAAATACATATTTTATCATTACAAATAATTAATATATACATAATATATGTATATATCTAATGATGCCTAAAATAAATCCCAAGTGTTAACTCAGAAGTTCAGCTCAGACCGGGAGGTCAGCCATATTAACTAAGGTCAGAAGGCAAGGACTGAATGTCTTTCGAGGCAAGGCAACAACTGGATAACCAAGAGAGGTTCTTAAAGTGTTAAGAAGCTATAATCAAGGCACCTAATCTCAACCAACCAAGATCTTCTCCTAGAATTAAGGAGAACTCCATGAAATAAGGGTAAGAATCTCGGCCAAGATCCCACTGAATAAAAAATAGTCCTATAAATACTATGTAACGCCTCCAAGGAGGAGAGAGAACTCTAGAGGCAAAAACAAGTCGTTGTACTTTTGCAATCATCATTATTGAAAGACAAGGAGCAAGAGTCTCCATTAAAGAGTGAATTAATAGAGATCATATTCATTATAAATACAACAAGCATCCTTACAATACAAAATGATCCAAATAAGCATCCTCCAAGCATCCTTACAAGTTGAATTCCCCATTCATGAAAAATGGTTCAGCATCATTTAAAGAATACACATGTATTGAATTAGTCGGAGTACCCTACAATAATGAGATTATTTCAAAGAAATAAACTTGATACATCTGTCAAACAATAAAATTAACAATAAGATAACATATCATAACACTTTGTACACTATTTGAAGCTTGAGAAGACATCGAATAACCATATGCCAATGTACACGGGGTGATTAAAACCTTGTAACTGGGATAAAAAAATAATGTTTAGTCAAATATAAAGTGAATAAAAATATACAATATGTGATGGTTGTGAAGCTCTTTTTTTTTTTTTCTTTGTTGCTTTCTCATGCCAAAATTTTAGTTAACCCCAACTCTTGTAACCACCTTCTTTTCTTTTTAAACCTTTAACTTGGAGAAGGCTTGAGTCAACATTTTCTATTAGACTTGGGTCAACATTTTTATGGATTGAATCATTGCCACCATCACCAATTGATGCATACATACTATCCACTTCTTTGAACAATTCCTCAACACCATGTGACACCAATTGATATGCAAGTTGAAGACCAAAGCATCGAGCAACTAGTTGTACCATTCTAGGACAACGTTGCCTATAACGTGCCGCCACCATTAACTTGAGATTCTCTTCATTTGACATTAAAATGGGGGTTGTCCTAGAACTCTTTTTTGCATCTCGTCTCCATCTCTTACATATGTATTGCTCAGAAATTTGTTTAATATTCATCATGTTCAAGACTTTAAGTGCATGACCACATAATATTCCCTCCATTTCAAACTTCCGACAACTGCAATTGACTATCTCCTCCTTAGCCTTAACCAATACCAAATACTATCTATGTTCATCATATAATCGAATCACAAATTGATGCCACCCATCCAACACATCACATGGTGTCGCAATAGCACACTGAAAGATATCATACTCCTCTTGGAACAGGTTAAACATAGTAGGAGTGTACACTTGCCCTGCTTGCACTAATATTGGAGCTCTTTTTAACTTCAATCTAGGTAATTTTTGCCTAGTTTGGTATTCTAAGTCTGATTCCTTATACCGCTTATCATTCACAATTCTTTCAAAATGTACAAAGAACTGAACAATGTCGTGGTCTGACTTTAAGTACTTCCGTAAGACTGCATTCAAGCTCTCACTCAATTGAGTGCTTCTCATTCCTGCAATAAAAGTCCTCTTCATATAAACATGCTCCCATTTTTCTCGCAATGCCCAAGTGGCTTTCATCCACATATTATCATGCAAATCACATATTATCATGCAAACTATACTCCGCAAGCAATGATTTTCAAGCCTCAAATAATTCATGTTCTTCCTCATATCCATACACATACTCTTTAAATTGAGCAGGAAATTGAGAACCATCCTTATATATGATCCCCAAATGTTTCAACGCATTTTTGGCAAAGATGCCAAGTACATAGCCCATGGTATGTCTCTGGCATAACTATAGAATAACCTTAGTCATCACTTGATCTTGGTCAGTGATGATGGTAATAGGATATTTCTCAGACATAGCTTGTAGGAATGTCTCAAACAACTACTGAGATAATGTTGTCGTTTCATCATACAATAAATGCAGCTCCAAATAAGACTGTCTTCCTAAAATGATTGAAACCAGTAAAACAAGCAAATAGTCGATACTTCTTGTTCGTTCTGAAAGTAGTGTCAAATGAGATAACATCTCCAAAGTTGCTATAGTCAATAATCATCACTGAATCGGCCCAAAAAATATTAGTAATATGCTCCTCCGCATCCATTTGCACTTCATAATAGAATGATAGATTTTTCACTGCTTCCATTTGAAAATACTTCAACAAACTACTC